ATATCTGGATATCATAAAGTTTCTCTTTTAAATAGGATTTTGGAGAATTTGCATTACAACTTACCAAGCTAACCATACTGTGAACAACGAGTACCTGACAGCAGGAGCTGTATACAACCGTGGTCGTGTAACGACTTCTGAAATAATGATGATAGCGTTTGATAATCTTATTAGATGATCACATGGGCCTGTGTTATCAGATGATGTACATATGCTAGTTTTTTGCGTGGCCTTTCATTCACCGAGCAGCCCTCCTCAACGGCAACAAGGTAAGCGATAAAGTGGCTGGCTTTATTACGCTCAGCATAAAACTAACACTGGTGTGTAAATATCCTTAAAATGTAATCATAACATAAGCGCTGAATATTTAAGTACACACGGTGAGATGGGTTTTGTTTCATTATTTCTATTTTCAATATCTCTGTGGAAAAAGAAGAACCTCAGTACCAATTTCTAAAAACATAGCTTCATTCTTTCTCTTTGTCCTGTATACTTGCAAAATGGCGTTTAAAAATTGATTTGTCAACATAAAAGAACGCACCTAAAAACGTTTACCACCTATTATTTTAATTTTTAATCGTTTAAATGTTGCAGTTCATACTTACGCTAACATTGCCACTTATTGAAATTGAGTTGTTGCATCTATGAATTGAATGTAACAGTTATCTTTATTGGGAAGATTTGAAACATTTTGAAATATAATGTCCAATTTTTTTCTCTATGATATGGCGTATTTCCGTTGACTATGACTTTCTACATTTCCCTTTGCTCATAAAAGGTTACACTAAGTCAGCTGCTTGTGTCACTTACAATGAAGTATCCTTATATTAGTTTTTTGTGAGACATTTACCAGAATGGTTCGGAGCATTAACTTTTTTCGACTCTGGTTTGTTGCAGAGGAAAGCAACTATCAGATATGTGATATCTTCTGAAAGACAATTGCATGAAATAACAAGTACTGTATCAATGAATAAAAAATGCATTTGACAAGAATTGAACAAGATATTCAAGTGCATTTTACAATAATGTTAAAAGTCAAAATGATCAAATAATATCTTTATTTGTATTATAAAATTGAATAAATGACACGCAAAATGTTCTTGACCCTTTGTATACGTCTTGCAATAACTTGCCTTTATTGATTTCTCCCCAACCATTGTTTGTTATTGATAAGCTTCAGTGGTTAAAAGTAATGAACTAATGTCTTATTCTATGTAAGTAACTTTACCGTACCTTTCAATACTTTTTAGGACATTTTAAGCGTTTGACCTTTTGTTCACATGGTAGCAAAATGGGAACGCATCGGGTATCTTTAATTTCAAGCGCTTGATCAGAATGTGATGCGTACTGCCTTCTGTTACTTACCTATTTGACCAGACGCTCTCGTAATCAGATAAGAATCATTCTGTATTTATACAAAAAGTATTCTGCTGCAAGTGTTCTTTAATTTTAATTCATTTCCGAAAAAGTCAAAAAATTGCGGTAATAAACTGAAAGTTAAGCTTGTTTTATGTCATGAAATATGTAGTTTTGCTTTACTTGTAATACGATTAAAACTTTTTTATCTATAAATGATGTTTGTGTTTCAACGATATACTGATGAAACAATGAATTTTAACAATGTGATGCAAATATAAATAAATCGGTAAACATATTTGAATTTAATTCAAAACACAGAATCCAAAACGAAAAGAAATGAACAGCTTAAGGCTTACATTTTTGTAGTACTCTTAAATATATTCACGGTCAGATATGACGAATTATACTATCGATATAGTCTGCCTTTTTACTAATTGTCTGGTACATACATGGTAGTGGTTCTTTTTACGAGAGTAAGCCGGAAATGTTATGACTTCTATAGTGGCCGGAATTTTAAAGAAGGAATTTCGTAGTGGTTGAACAATTCGTAAACTACATAATACTATTGATTTAATCGAGGAAGGAAATCCTAACAGATGTTTTATATGTTGCCTTGCGTGTTTACATTTGCGGGTCGTTTGTGTCTAGTTTGGTTTCTTTTGTAAAGATTTAAGATGATCAATTACCGTTTGAATGTTTCCCGTATTCACTAAAGTTGGATTTTTTTCATTTTATCCGATGCTGGTATCATGTTTTTTGTTCTATTATACTATTATATGCAGCTGTCAAATTGTTTAAGCTAAACTCAAACAAAATATACACATTTGATGGAAAATATGAAAGTTGTCATTTGTTTCTTTTTTAGTCTGGTTATCAAGATGGCAATCAACAAAAAAAAAATTTTTTTCCTAACATCATTTTTCTTGATTTACATCAATCATGGCGCCGTCCAAGCCACAACACCACCTACTGATGTGTGTAAGTAACGATAACTATTTGCATTACTCTGTTTATATTAGAAGAACATTGAGACAGAACATCACGAATAGTTAAAACTTACTCACTCTAAAAGTCATGTTTTTCTGAACAGTTACAATGACATATACGATGAATGAATAAATCATTGTGATATATGTAAAATAAATTTTAATTGGCATTACAACTTTATCACCTGTGTCCTTTTAGTAACTGGTCTACTGTTAGTAGAATTATGGATGGTATACATATTGTTTTCTTATCATTAAAAGTATAGAGGAAAAAAATATGTTAAAATAATTGCCTACGTGCATAGCTTTATTGAGTCGAGAGCATATCAAGAACAGGTTTTGTACTATGCTGTTAAAGAGGTAATGCGTATTTTTCCCTTTTAATTCTATCAATCAATTTAATAAGGATCACGTATGGAATACAAATCTGGAAAAAACATACATACAAGGAAAGAACATATAAATTGAAAAAACAACAACGATATGGATTGGAAACATTAGTTTCTTAACAGATCCAGAGGTCATACACAATACTTGATGTAAACATATTGTTACATCAGCAATCTTCGAAATATCGCAAAACACAGCAACACTACACTATGCATGCTTTTGTATTTGTATGGTGCATCATTTTCATAGATACATTTTTTCATATTTGTTATCTTTTATTCGATTTTGAATTTCAAGAAATCAAAGGAATCAGGCGTTATTTTCTTAACACAACACTCCTTGTAAGATAGTGAATAATTAAGTGAGCAAGTACTATGTTTGGCATCACACTCAGAACACTCCGTGTGTATCTGAACACTCAAGGTTTATTGCAATTAAAACATTCATAAACGCTATGTGTGTGCAGGAACTACAAAAAAAAGACACATGTATATGATAGCTTGCAAGTTGTATGATTACAACATTTCGTCGTATGAAGCACGATTTTTCATCATTGACACTATGCTTTTTTAAGTCATTCATTTTTTTATTGTCAGCATGCCCAGCCCCTGGAACAATAAATGTTAACGTCAGTGACGGAACTATAAACAGTGTTCTGGTGGAATGCGAATACAAAGGAAACCACACCGTGAGAACAATACCGAAAAATGGTACCATCGGCAGTATACTTGTTACTAACTGCACCATAGTAAGAGTTATTATCAATTAATCTGATTGCTTGCATTTCTACCAATAGCAGAAAAAAATGTAATAACACTGTATCTTATATATTATCAATCAACAACTTGATCCATGGCTATTTTTTTCTAAAATCATTCAAACATAATGTTACATATGTCTAAAACTTTCAATCTGGATGTAAATGTGTTGGTATCATTCATCAAATTGTAGTATTGAATCTTTATCCTAATTAACAAGTATTATTCGATATTATTCGATAATAGCTTTGAAAGCTTTCACTTTCGTTGTAATTTATAGTGAAATATTTATCCTTTGTTTATATATCTTTTACAGAATAAATCGGTTAAACTTGTCCTTTTCAAAGACAACCATGCTTTGTCACTCGGAGCGGTTATAATTGGGGAAAAATCGCATATAGTGAAAGAGATCATCGTCGTTTGTAACGGATCACACATGACGGTCAACCAAAATTTTACCAAGTATGTGTACATTGCTATCAGTGTTAACTTTCGTTTGTAAATATATGCGTATACATATTTACGCATGATTGTCAGAGTGGTTTCTTAACATGTATTATACAAAACAATGAAAGATTTTTTTTTATTAATCTTCGTACACATCAAGCAATACAATACACTGACAATATTTTAAAATGGAAAATAGTGAGTCAACATGGCTGGATTGATGTAAACGATATCAAAAACGAAAAAGATAATAAAAACGAAACGGAAAATAAATAAATAAAATGACGGGAACAGAACGCAAAGGAAAACACCTGCAAGTTGGGGGAAATAATTCGCACGCTGCATCACAGTTGATATTATCTTCTGTTAACGAGACACTTAAGAAACTTGATTTGCAGCCACTTGAGATTTGTATTATTATTACTCATGCTTTTTATGTTAATATAATGTTATTATTTATTTATTTAACATTTCTCGCCGATGCCTCCTCATGCCCCGCCTTCATTTGACCTTATTGCTTTTGTTGACGTCAAATTTGAACCTTACAATCGAAATTATGTTATGTCTTGTAGTTTGACTTCTGTGAAAGAAATGCTTTTGATGTTTGCATTTACGGAACTTAAATAGTACTTATCAATCAATTATTGAAGCATTAAACTCCGTTTTGTTTAGAGTTACAATTCTTTTTTATTCAGAACTGTAGGTTGGCAGAGTGTTAGTTTAAAGTTAACGGACGTAATTAACCATTGTAGCAGAAAATGTTGTTTAAAGGTGTAGGATGAGACAGCTAATAGAATTGTCGGAAGGACTGACTATCGGCATTACAAGGGCGACTTTCTGCATTATGACTTTCAATTTTAAGTACAGCTGAAAAAGCTGTTATAACTACATTATCTGTCCATTAATAATAAGGCCCTATAAAGGAGAATTGCAAGAAAGTAAGGGAATGCTTTCCTTTTCTCTATAATATGAGGATTCCCATTCTTAAACTCATTTGCCATAATCGAAATGGAGTTTAAAAGATGTTCATATGTTTAAAGAATTAGTGAAATAATATCCAATGATCTAAGGACTGAGAAAACAGTTCCCGTAACTGATGAAAAATGATCAGTGTTTTCATTCCTTCATAATCGCGGCCATGTCTTGTACACATCGTCCATTCACTTATTCAACGGATACTATAAGATATGAATAATTTCGATTAACCCCCTAACATCAACAGTTGATTCTATGTTTATGTCTCGTATGCTCCATTCAATTACACAACACAATAGCAAACTCAATATTGCCTTGATCGTCGCATTATGATTTGATCTGTAATATGAATGGTTTCTCTATATTTTCTAGTTCCGTTCTCGCTCCAAAGGCACATTGGTCATGAAAGTGACGAACCTTAAAGGAGAAGTCCTGACCGCTGCTGTTGATATAGCACACAATTATACGTTGAATATCACCGGCCCACGTAAGATTGTATTGTACATACAAGAACCACTGAATACAATATTGTTATCATATATAATATTGTTAAGATATTATGTTAATGAATGATAAAAGACTAATATATTTTAATTTGAAAATAAAGGGAGTTCAATGCATTAGACACATTATCTAATTTAGATTTGTCGGTTTATCTTTATCAGTTATGCTCAGAAACAGCAAGACTTTCTATATTTTAACCAATTTGCCAAACTTTCGAGAGCTGTTGAGCAAAGATTTTTTAGAAACTGGAGTTCAAAGGAACGCTTCCTTAATATTGGATATTGAAATCTGCTGTCACACTAATATCGGTATATTACAGCCGTACATTTGCCATTCAATATAATCGAATGTGATTGTAAACAATGAGAGATGTATCTCTCTTGATTACAAATGCGTCGTCGAAGCGTTGCCAGCGTCGATGGTATACGCCTTAGACCGTTCGGACGAAGAAGCGTGAACTGGGACTTATATGTGAATGAACCCATCTCTCGACTCTACTAGCTCATTGTAAATGTTCGGGAACATGTGCCAGCAATAAGCCATATGACGCACACGCCGTACACGAGTAAGAGATAGACCGACGTCCGGACGACGTGCCCGCAGACCAGCCTCTGCAAAATAAGTGTTAACTTATTTTGGATAAAGAAGACGATTATGAGTGCCTATTGTATAACGGGTGGTTTCAGGTGCAGCTTGATGGCGATTTCGCGAATGCGCAAGATGAAGCAACCAGTTTTGACGTCAAGATGCACACTTAGACGTCCAAATCGCGGTCGGCCGGCAACTCTCCTAGTGTCGCTCAAACGTCTGACAAGACGGTCTATGATGGAATAATTAACTCCAAAATAGTTTGACCCCTCTGACTTTATGTCAGTCGTACAATAATTACAAGAAAAATAAATTGTATTAATATTGCGGAAGGCGAAGTGTATATGTCAAGAGTACCAAGTGGTTTTACCGAAGTTTTCATCATTATTCTGTCCGTAATTTGTTGCTCTTTTACTTTTTCACAATAATGCACGTTGAGCTACGTTTTTGAGTGACTTTACACACTGGGTGTAGTGAATACTGACCAGGATATCCGTCTTACCGAAGTTAATTTGACGATAAAATTCACCTTTTCTAACCCTGTATTTCTTTTCCTACAGTACATAATAGTACTATATATATCAAGTGAGACAATGTTGGATAAGATAACTTACAACGGCTGCTTCGGCCAGCGTCTATAATTTTTCAACATGTTACCAAAACGTTGCTTACTCTGTACATGCAAGCCTCAGCATACAGCTTCAAATGTCCCCTTATCGAGGGGAGAGGGGACTCGCATGCCAAGTTTATGTGATTTATCTTATCCTTATGATTTAACATTTGGGTATGTATTAAGTGGTCATGTTGAGGGCTATTAACGTAGATGCATTTGGATACGTTTATATGTACATGCACTTGCGTACCGTAACTTGACAACTCGTGCACAACAATGCACACGTAGGTTACTTTTTTAAAGCGTTTGATGGAATATTACATGGTTGTATTTTATTAAAATGCATGTTTATATTCCTCATTTATGTTAATGAACTGGTTAGATTGAATGTATACAGGGGTGTCAGCGTTTCAGTTGACAAACTGAATGGAATGAAAACGCAATGAAAACGCAACCAGAACGAAATGAAAACGGAATGAAACAAGGCCTAAACGGAACGGAACGAAAATAATTTCACTGTTTGGAACGAAACGCGAATAGAACGGAACGAAACGAAAGCTCCACTCGGACTGGGACGGAGCGAAACGGAACGATTAGGGCAGAGAGGATTTAACATGGAACGAAGCAGAACGAAACGAAAAAACCAGAATGCGACGGAAACGGAACGAATTGAATCTTGAGAACGAAATGAAATGAAAACGCGAATGAAATGGAATGAGAACGGAATGAAAACGCAAAATCTGTCAACTGAAACGCTGACACCCCTGTACCATTATCAATTATATGGTTTATTCCATCATCACCACAGTTTTGTGACATTTCGTTGTGCAATTTTATTTTAAAAGAGGGTAAACACACAATGACGAAATCAGAACAAAATGTCGAAACGAATTAAAAAAGATCGCAAAAGGCACCGAGACGATCAAACAATAAAATTTGACATTCAAAGAAAACTGCTTGTAAATTCCAGTGTTAATCTAATCCTGTAAGATACAGACAGAATTAAAACTATCATAAAAATACTGTATTATCATTTAAACACGTTATACATATATATATTCCAATATCCTATTTCAGAAAATGTGTTTCTTCTCGTTGAATCGTGTGATGCTGCCTCAGATTTGAATTTCCAGAAGGATTTAGTTTCGTTATACGTAAACAGGTGAGCACCTAAAGTATATGCATCATTTAAAGCTCCCGTTTGCGGTATATTTTGAGTGATGATTTTGTTGTAACAAAATAACTGCGAAATGTGAAGTAATCACATATTTGAGGACATCTATCTCAGAGTAGGTACTTTCTCGATTATCTTGTTGCATGTGTATTTATTACAGCCAGTATAATGCATGTAACACAACTATAGTTTTGTGTTAATATCTTATTCATAAAAGTATGATATTACAAATACGATTTCAAATACGACTTGTAAGTTTGATAGAACAACTATAAAATCCTTCTTATGTTTCCTCAAATAAAGAAGAAGATAAAGCGTTCCGTGCAATGACGTCAAGAAAAACCTCAGAAAATCCATGAACAGACGGATTCTTTTAAGTTTTGCTCGTTAAACCAAGTGATGTTTGGTTTTAGTACTGGCGTGTTTTCATGTGATACGCCTTAAAGACAACTCTAACATACATGTTATTGAGCCGTCTCCGTTACGTGTATTTTAGTTTGTCATTTTCGGAATACTTTTTATAGGGACGGATTCATATATATTTGTAAGTTTGTACTCAATTTCTTTCAGGAAACCAAACGCTCATTATGATATTTTAGGAACATTTCCAAATAATACAGCTACGAGTACAAAAGCTATTATGGTCGGCTTCCGATTGCTTGATTCTCCTCTTGTATACCTACGTTGTGTTGTCGATGTTTGTAATGTGGCCGATTGTCCATCTCTGACCACGACCGCGCCTACCACGACCGCGCCTATCACGACCGCGCCTACCACGACCAACGCAACGATAACGTCATCAACAAAAAAGGTACAGAACATATGGTGTTCTATATTTTTTAATGCCTATAACACACCATGCTGTTCTCCAGCTAACTGATGATTGAATAGATACATTGATGAAATGTCCATTCTGTGTTTTCTAACGTATTTTGATTTTTCTTATTTTTCCTATATCTTCTGCTTTATGATATGAATACCTGTCAGTTTACATTCTGGTTCCTTCATATCTCGCTTATGTTTGGCTGTAAGTTTGTAAGCTATATGTATATGCATTTGAGGATCGATTCTCCTATGGTTTGATTACTGAATAGATTAAATAAATGTTTACTCATTAATTGGTTCATTGTTTAATTGGTCGTCAGTATTAGTAAAGGTGCATCAACACAGGTAAACAATACTACACTGTAAGAAGAATGGAAATGGAGTAGGGATAAAATGAAAACACAGAAATGATCAGATATCCAACATTTGCCACTTTACGGCATGCAGCTAGGTTTATTTACAAGTTAAACTTGAAACATTTTTGTTATGATTTTATTAATTTGCCGAAATTTCAGTTAAAGGTTTATTGAACATTTTAGAATGTCTACTTCAGTTTATTATTTTATCTGTCCAGTTATCTATTTTTCAAGATCGCTTTATGCATTATCTGACATGAATGTTGGATAATTTCTAATGCTGCAAAAATACATCAGGTAATATTTTGCAAGAAAAATATATGCGATGAATGTATTTGATAAGATTAAGCGAAGAAAGAGTTGTGATAAAAGTTTGTTAAGACACTCGAATTTGAAAATAGTTACAAAGCATAATTGTAAAAGTAAATAATTTCAAGCTTAATAAAGCATTGACCTGTTTTTGTATGGTATTTATAATATATTTGAATGACACAGCTTTGCAAGCAAACAACATAATGCGCGCTAGGGCATTATGATGTGTTTGCTTGCAAAGCTGTGTCATTCAAAAGATTATAAATACCATACAAAAACAGTTCAATACTTATATTTACGTTTTCTCTGCCTCTTATATTCTTTTTTAACTTATAATTTATATTTAAAATTTAAAATGCCCGCCTTATCTACAGTCCACACAATTTCGTTCAATAATTTGAACAGCGTATTGTCGCGTGCTGATTGGCAAACAAAGTAACAAACACTTCAAACTTATTCCACAATTCAGTATCAATACAATTGCGTATGATATGTCTATAGGGTGATTTAAGTTTATCAATAGGAATCTGAGCTGAGAGTAAGATTTGAAATTGTTCCGATTTTCCTCGGAACAAATTACGCGCATGGATAAATACTATGAACACCGTGAATCCGACCTTAACCTCCACGAGGGAGTTATTTTTGGAAGTTAATTCGAAAGTTTCTCTTTGCTCATTTTGTGAAGAATCCAGACGTGAATATATTTGTTGACTGTATTGGAATCTGACTACAGTCGGTAGATTATATAACAGCCTCGTTATTTGACATGTCGTGATCAGAAACATAGAAAACCGTGGCTGCGAGACGCGTGAAACTGATATCGTTTGAAGTGCGTGATCTTGCGACGGAGCACAGGGGTTCGTTACAAACGCTGAAATGTTTATGTTTGCTGTGACTCATATCAGTAGGTCTGTAACATATGTGTCAGTAGGTCTATAGAATATGGGTATTTCAGACATTTGTAACGAACCCCTGTTGATCAGTGCAGTGTAACAGACGATATTTCTGATAAATTGCATGAGTGTTAAAATTGT